AACCCTAACACGCACCCTAACACGCACCCTAACCCTAACCCTAACACGCACCCTAACACGCACCCTAACCCTACCCCCCTCCCCGAGGTCCCAGAACCCGTACACGGTATAGATATTTAACAAACACAGTCTAAGATATATTGAGAAAAAAAGAATAAGAAATTAATAACGTCTTTGCGTTGAACTTAGCTCCTCCTTGCCAAACTAACTTTAAACAATTGAAATCATTCCTGATCTTAAGCATAGGCTATCTGGAATGTCTTAGTCCCGTATTTGTTTTGTATATAATCGATCCAGTACAGTAGAAACCATTTGAAGGCACAACAGGCTGTATCTTGACAGAACCAGCCTCTACCCGAGAGGTTTTAGGGGTGTCTTACCCCCACAACGAACATATACACACACACAGGGCCGTTTTTATAAGTGGCTGCCTGAGTACATTTGTTTACATGACAATATTTAACTCCTCATGTCTGCCTCAACTGTGCAACCATTGATAAAACAGATCCCAAGTTCGAAAATATTTCCCCGCTCCTTTTTTTCTTTTATCTCCAGTGTTAACCTGTCCATTTCTGCACAATCTAATATCTTTTTAACAAGTCCGTCCTTTTCCTGTTTCCTCGTTTTCCCAGTGTTGCGCCTAACAAGATAATATTAAATATACGTTTCCTTTATCGTGTTTCTCGGGTAATATGCCTAGCAAAAAATAATTCTGGATTATAATCGAGATGCTGCTGTGACCTATTTTTGAACCGCGTATGATTTCATGACTTCCACGGCGGAGGTCAGATGTGTGAATCCCATTATCATTCAGCGAATGCGGTGGTTGTCAGTGCGAATCCAGCTTCACCAATGGTGGCGTTCCCAAATTGCCCCCCAAATTGCAATCCCGTCACGATGAACAGAGTCGGAAGGGACCTTGTAGGTCATCTATCCCAACCCCAGCCCGCCCAAGCAGGAGACCCTACACCGTTTACGACAGATGCCAGTCCAGTAATAGCTAGGGGCAGTGCCACTCTTTGAGGCCCTAGGTTGTGACTTTTTTTTCAAGCCAGTCGCAATTTGGAACCGTCCTTAAGCAAACGGTCGTAAGTCGAGAACCCCCTGAAGTTGCCACCTATCTGAGGACCTTATGGGTATGAACTGGAAACTGTGGCTAGGAACACTTGTTAAGATGGACAGTCGACAAAACCCTGAGTTCAATGCAGGTTGTCCTCACCTCGAGACCCCAATCGACGTTCAACGTCACAACGTTCCCATTGCCAATCATCAAGACCGTTGTTAAGTGAGTTTGCCCCCATGTGAGGACTTTCCTTGCCACAGTCGCTCGGTGAGTGACAGCAGTTGTTAAGCGGGCAACACGGCTATTAAGTGAATCTGACTTGGCTCGTCAGAAATCTGCAACGGTCGCGACCTCAGGGCGTCATAATCTGAACCAGTTGTCAAGTGTCTAAATCAGGGGTGTCAAACTGAAGGCCCGAGGGCCAGATCCACTCTTTGGGGGATGCTTAAATCTGGCCCGCGGACCTGCAGTACCTCTGCCAGACAAAACTGGGCGTGGTCGCTGTGCCCCGCCCCATCGCCCCGTGGCCTGTTTTGGCCAGCTGGGCACTTCAGGAGCATCTGTCCTGTCTCCCCCCTCTCCGCTCCGGCCCGCGGAGAACTAAAAGTGGAGTCCCCCAAGACTCTGTTTTAGGCCCAGTAGGACTCTTCAACATCTTCATCAATGATTTGGATGAGGGGATAAATGGGGAACTCATCAAATTTGCAGAGGACACCAAGCTGGCAGGAATAGCCAACACTCCAGAAGACAGGCTTAAGATCCAGAAGGATCTGGACAAGCTTGAACATTGGGCACTATCTAACAAAATGAAATTCAAGGGTGAAAAGAGTCAGGTTCTACATTTAGGCAAGAAAAACGAAATGCACAGGGACAGTATAGGTGGCACCTTGCTCAACAGTAGTAACGGTGAGCGGGATCTTGGAGTCCTAGTGGAGAACCATTTAAATAGGAGCCAGCTGTGTGCAGCAGCTGCCAAAAAAGCCAACACAGTTCTAGGCTGCATCAACAGAGGGAGAGAATCAGGATCACGTGAAGTCTTAATACCATTTTACAATGCCTTGTAAGGCCACACTTGGAATACGGCATCCAGTTTTGGTCTCCACGATGTAGAAAAGATGTGGAGACTCTGGAAAGAGTGCAGAGAAGAGCAACAAAGAGGATGAGGGGACTGGAGGCTAAAACATAGGAAGAACGGTTGCAGGAACTGGGGATGTCTAGTTGAATGAAAAGAAGGACTAGGGGAGACATGATAGGAGTCTTCCAATATCTCAGGGGTTGCCACAAAGAAGAGGGAGTCAAACTATTCTCCAAGGCACCTGAGGGCAGAACAAGAAGCAATGGGTGGAAACTAATCAAGGAGAGAAGCAACTTAGAACTGAGGAGGAATTTCCTGACAGTCAGAACAATTAATCAGTGGAACAGAAGTTGCCTCCAGAAGTTGTGAATGCCCCAACACTGGAAGTCTTTAAGAAGATGTTGGAGAGCCATTTCTCTGAAACGGTGTAGGGTTTCCTCCCTAGGCAGGGGTTAGACTAGAAGACCTCCAAGGTCCCTTCCAACTCTGCTATTGTATTATTATTATTGTATTATTGTATAAAAGGCTGATCCAGCCCGCGAAGAAATCCAATTTGACACCCCTGCTCTAAATTGTGATGCTACAACGGTCGTGTGAAAAAAAAACCTGTCCTAAAAACCACTCTTTTTTCAGCGCCGTTTGAACTTCCGACGATCACTCAAAGGACCGTTGTACAGCGGAGGCCACACGGCTGGGTAATGCTCCAACGGTCGTAAGTGCGAGGACTTGTCAAAAAGTCTCTTTTTAGTGCCAGCGTTCATTTCCGAATGTTGGCTAAGCGATGGTTGTAGTAACCAGGTAAAGGTTCCTCTCGCACACATATTCTAATCGTTCCCGACTCTGGGGGGCGGTGCTCATCTCCGTTTCAACGCCAAAGAGCCAGCGCTGTACGAAGACGTCTCCGTGGTCATGTGGCCGGCGTGACTCAACGCCGAAGGCGCACGAAACGCTGTGACCTTCCCACCAAAGGGGGTTCCTATTTTTCTACTTGCATTTTTTACATGCTTTTCGAACGGCTAGGTTGGCAGAAGTTGGGACAAGTCACAGGAACTCGCTCCGTTACGTGGCGTCAGGGATTCGAACCGCCGAACTGCCGACCTTTCTGATCAACAAGCTCAGCCCCTGAGTCACCGCCTCAAGGACTAGCTATAATCTTTTTATTTTTTGCAAGCTGGGCTGCAAAAAGAGCCGAGGTGGCGCAGTGGTTAGGGTGCAGTACTGCAGGCCACTTCAGCTGACTGTTATCTGCAGTTCAGCGGTTCTAATCCCACCGGCTCAAAGTTGACTCAGCCTTCCATCCTTCCGAGGTGGGTAAAATGAGGACCCGGATTGTTGTTGGGGGCGATATGCTGACTCTGTAAACCGCTTAGAGAGGGCTGAAAGCCCTATGAAGCGGTATATAAGTCTAACTGCTATTGCTATTGTTATTGCTATTGTTCCATTTGACCGCGTTTTTCTCACCTGACCGAAATTCCCGGGGTTTGAACAGCTGCTGGAGAGTATCATTCTCCAGTTTGATTTGGCCCTCGGGCGCCAAAAATCCCGACCACGAGACGCAGACTTTGCCCCGGCATTGGATGAAGATCCCTTCGTGGTTACTGGCCACCATGATGCCTTTTACCAAATCGTCGAGCAGACGCTGCACGATCTTCTGTTTTGGCGCATCGGCTATTTTATCCGGGGGCGGCAAAATGAAGCGTTTCAAACAATTAACCGGGCCGTTTGGCAAAGCCTGGGCCGACGTAATGAGAAACTCGCCTTCCGGTAACAAATGTTCGCAGAGCAGTTCGCCCAGGTAGGAGATGGACATGTGAAGAGAAAATTCCTCTGAAAAACAAACCGAGATTAAATTCAATATTACCGGTGTTTGCCCGAAAATAAAACCGGGTCTTATATTATTTTTTAATCTCCAAAAGATGCATTCGGTCTTAATTTTCTGGTTGGGTCTCATTTTTTGGGGGGGAAACGGTACTAATTACGTCCGTCTGGCTGATGATCTTAACGGTGGCTTATTTTTGGCGTAGGGCTTATATTAAAAGCACCCTGAAAAATCACGCTAAGGTTTAGGACTTATTTTCAGGGAAACAAGACCACTGATTTGATAATTCTGTTGTTTCCTTGATCTGATCCGGGTGGTCCTCGATTTACGACCATACACATGGAGTGGAATTTTCGTCATCCGTCATTGTGGGAGTTTAAGGGACGGGGTCATCACACGATTTGACAACCGTTTTTAGAGGGTGTGTGTGTGTCATAAGTTGACTCGCTGCAGTTGTTAAGTGAATCACAGCGTCGTAAGTGTGAATCCATCTTGACCAATGGCGGGTGAAAACCATGTGTTTCACTTAAAGACTGCAGGGTCTCGGTTTACCAGTTTTTACCAGTCGGTTTACCAGGGTTTTTTAAAATCAGAAACTGGTAAAAATAGGTCACAAGAGAGCAGAATTTCCATCAAGTCATTGCTGTCGTAAGTTGAGGATTATCCGTTGCCACGGAGACCGTGGCATCCATGGAGCCCTACCAAAAGTTCCCACGTGGAGAAGACAATGAGAGGACCATGATGGCATGGTATTTCTATCGGCTTTTGAAGGACAACACTACGGTAGATCGAGGAATATCAGATTTGCTGGGTGCTTACAATCTTTCGTTCAAACCCTTCCTTAAAAGGACCACAAACCCCATGACGTTAGCACCAAAGTGGCAACAGACTCACTGTACACCCATAATCCTTGTCTCCTAGAGCTTTTTCAGAGCAGGGTTTCTCAATCTTGCTCACTTTAAGACGTGTGGACTTCAACTCCCAGGATTTTCCACTTTGCTGAAATCAAGATGTATTACGTCGACCGCATTCCCCCTATCTATTAAGAAAATTATCCTATCCGAAAATGCAACGAAGGGAGATGGTTCTTATTAGAACCAATGTGGGTAAACTACCTTCATCGCATTTTCGGATAGGATAATTTTCTTAATAGATAGGGGGAATGCGGTCGATGGTGGGAAAAAAAGACTCTGTTTTAGGCCCAGTAGGACTCTTCAACATCTCCATCCATGATTTGGATGAGGGGATAAATGGGGAACTCATCAAATTTGCAGA